CTGACATTTCTTCCACCAACACAATCCCCGCTGGTTTTTGCAGCCAGAAACTGGACACTTACCTTCTTGGCCCTGGGCTGGGGAGTCTGGTGTGGAGCTGGGACTGCTCACTCCTGAGATATTCCTTCTGAATTTTTATCTACCACACGTGGACGTGGGACCAGCGCATTCCATGTCTGCACCCCTCCTGCCAGTCTGGATGGATGTGGTTTCTTTAATTCTGTAGTTGTCAGACTTCCGTTCACTTTGATTTCTGATGGTTCTGAGTGAAGGTTGTTCTATATTTTAGTTGTAATTTTGATGTGGTTGTGCAAGGAGGTAAGTGATGTTCACCTATGCCGCCACCTTGACCAGAACTCCGTCATGTAGCTTTTGATGTAACAGAACTTTCAGGGAAATGTGGATGCTTCCCAGGGCCAATTTGTATGCTGCAAGGAGCAGCAAAGCCCAGAAGGTGGCGCCACAACATGGCTGAGAGCCCACAATCCGCCAACCTAACAATGGACGTTTGGAGGCAGTTTAATTTTATTTGGAATAAAACAGTCAATGTGAGTTTTCATAGCCAGGATTTCAGAAGTTGATTCTCTCTTTTGGGGGATAACAAAAGGAGAAAATCACACAGTACAGGAGAGCAAAAAAAATTGAATACTGACTGGTGCTGTGTCCCTGAGTAATCCTGGCTTCAGGACTGTCTTTTCCCTTGGGCTGGCCTGGCTGGCTGGGTACCATTTCTTATTGTCAGTTCCCACTTTCTGTTCAGATTTTTATGATATCTCTACTTGTTGTCCCATCCTTGGCGCACACAAATCTATGTCTTCTTTGCCCATACATGAAATCTGAAAAGTTCTTGTTCTTTATCAAGCCATGCAAATTAAAGTTATCTGCCTCATTTGCTACCATTCCAGACTACTTCTGGAGACCATCTTGCATAATTAAAAGGTTCATCAAAGTTCTTCTCTCATTAAAAGTTTCTTTAACTCAGAAATAATTTACCTTGCTCCTGTAGAATAAAAATTACTGTAATTTTTTTTTGGGGGGGGGAGGTGGGTATACTTTAAAGAATGTTAAGAAAAATCTTTAGAAAAAGAGACCATGTTTTTGGCTGGAAAGACTCTATATTGTGAGAATGTCCCTTCTTCCTAAATTGATATTTTCACCAAAATAAATGCCAGATTAATCCAATGTTAAACATTTTAAAAATCTATACTAAAACTAAATTATGATTAATTTGGATAGTTTTGCAAATTTTGAGAGGAGTAGGAAATTCTAGTATTTATTAAAAAATTTATTGGTTTTTATATTGACTATCCAAAGTTAACATCATTGTATTTAAGAAAGTCCAAATAAACTGTTTTAAAATTTTATAACAATTATTAAAGCAGAGGCTTACATCTTCATTTAACAAAGAGCTCATATAAATGTAAACAGTCTTCGATGTTTAAAAGTATAAAAATTTGGACATTTAGCAAAAGAAGAAATACCACTAGTTACTAACTACAGAGAAAGTGTTCAAACTCTAATAAAGTGAATTCTTTTTTTAAAAAAAAAAGAGTATTTTTTTACTTCCAAACTAGCAAATTTTTTAAAATGTGTACCAACACACTGGTGAGTAAAATAGCACTTTTCCATATCAATGAGCGATCTGTAAATATAACTTTTGGCAGTTATTCATAAAGGTCCTTACAATATTTCAGTTGTTTCATTTTAATGACTCTATTTTGGGGGGAATTTATGCCAAGGAAATAATCCTATAATTTATATATAAATTTATTAATTGTAGCATTAGTCATAAGATCAAAACTTTAAAAAAAGATCTTCATACCCAACAGTAAGGTAAACTCACTCTATAGAATATTAGGTATTTTTAAGTGATATTTAAAATAATGAAATAACAACACAGAAATCCTTATAATAATATACAAAAGGCAGTTTTGGTAAAAAAGAACAAGTATTAAAATATTGCTAACAAATTTTTTGCTAGGAAAGCAAACATTTAAGCAGTGTGTCAGTTCACACGCACAAGACTGACTAAAACTAAATAGACTGAAAATACCAAATGTTGACAAGAATGTGGCACAACAAAAATCCTCACACATGGTTTATGGGAGGGCAAACTGGTACAACACTATTTGATACCATCGAAGGAAGCTGCAGATATGCATGCCCAATGGCCCAACAATTCCACTTATAAGTAAGGAGCCCAGAGAAACCCCTGCACGTGAGCTGCAGGGTACAAGAACCTACAAGAATGCTCCTGGCAGCAGTGTTTGGAACAAGCAGAAACTGGGCATGCCCAGCCCATCCCCAGTAGGATGGGTGAATTGTGGGTTACTTGTGCTATGAAGTAGGACACAATAAAATCAACAAATGAGAGTTAAACATCATGATATAAATTATTTTCACAAACATAATATTGAGTGAAAGAAACAAGTCATAAAAGAATGTGTCTACTAATCCATTTATATAAAGTACAAAAATGAATGAAACCAAACTACTTTGTTTAGAGGTATAAACAAAGATGATGAAACTGTAAGAAAATGCAAGGACATGAGTATCATAGGAGTCAAGATAATAATTACTTCTGGCAAGATGGAGGAGTAGTAATAGAGAAGGATCCATGAGAAAGTGGAGAGCTTCTCTGGGTCTGAGAGTGTCTGATTTTCTTTTCTTTTCTTTTTTTGCATGTGTCTGATTTATTGACCTGGTATATGATTACATAGTTCATGGCTTTTTTTAAAACTGCACATATGTATTTTTATATATTATATAATGCATGTTTGATATTTTGGGTTGAATTGTATTCCCTCCCCCAACCTCCTCTAAAAGAGGGTATGTTGAAGTCCTAGTCCCCAACACTTCAGTATGTGACTTTGCTTAGAAATAGGGTTGTTGCATATATTATTAGTTAAGATGAGTAGGAGCAGGATGGGCCTCTATTCTCCAAGAATGTATGTTTATCATCTCTAGTTTCTTGAATAAATTACAAAATCTACAATTAAAAAGGAGTCAAATCAGCCTACTTTATATATTCCCTGGCAATATAAAGGTATTCCAAGACACAATTCAAACACTATAAAAATAAGGATCTCCTATTCAGAAAGGAAAGCTATGCAGCCTAACCAGTTGTACCAAGGGGTCAAGGATCAATTGTACATGTCCAAGTACATTTAAAAATAAAGAAAGTGGTTTGTTCCGATTTGGCCTGTAAAATTTTCATCCCGACCCTTTGATTCCCTTCCTTACTGGAAATTCTCCAGCGTTTGAAGTGACCCTGAATATGGCTTCTGGGAAGACATTCTTATTCATTGCATTTCACTCCAGAGAAAAGAAGGGCTGGCCTGAAAGGAGGCTTGACCCAGGACTTTTCTGGGGCAGAATACTGATGAACACAGATGGCTTCATGAATGACAATCTTTGGTTATAATTCTGCTTCCTGCAAGTTGGGGTACTGACAATCTCAGCGTTTACAGAGCAGCGCACTCTGGGAAACCTCACTGGGGGCTGACTTTGTACAGGATACTGAGCATGCTTGTAGGAGCATTGCCTTTCTCAATCGTTCTGCATGATTAGAGGATGCCATTAAAAAAGGGTATGAAGGAGCAATACCTGGAGAACAGATTTTTTAAATGAACAAAATGCAACATGATTTCTATACTACTTCCAAGGTTTTGAATACCAAAAGAGAGCAAAGTACAAAAAATTTTTTTCCTAGAAAAATAATGAAGTAGAAAAACTAGCACAGTAGTAAGAGATTTTGAAGCCAGGCTGTCTGCTTTGTGACCTCTTACTTCTTAGCTTGGTGTGGTTATTAGCCTGAGTACAAATTTTTTCATCTGTAAATTTAGGATAAAAATTGCATCTATTGCAAAAGAATCCTAGCTAGGAAGATTCGAGGAGGCAGTATATAAAAAGCATTTAGCTCAGAATGTTGCACATGGTAAGTGTTTAATAAATATTTGTTGCTGGCATAATACTAGTACTAATACTACTAATAATAAGTATCTTCAGATTTATACTTGAAGTAGCTATATAAATTTCCAGCAGAGTCGATAATGAAGTAGGCCCCCTGGAGGTCATTTGGTTCACCCCATTAAATTAGTCAGAGAAGGAAAATTTCAGTTGACCATTGGACTGAAGTTGACCATTCTAGTCCTTAACATTTCCTAGCAGAAAAATAAAATTCATTTAAGTTTCCTGACTTGTCAGGTAAGTGGGTTGGATTAAATAATTTCTAAGGAGCCTTCCAAGTAATAAAAATTTGTATTTCTAATAGCCACTGTCAACCATAAGTCAAATACATTAGTCTCTAAATCATTGTCTTCCTTTCAATGGGTATTTCTATTATCCTCACTTCCACCCTTCCAATGAAAAACACGAGCTTTAGGCTGGTTTGGAGGTCCAGGTGTTGGTGGTTTGGGGTTTTCCCCAGGTGTGTTCCAGGAGCGTCACAGACGTGGGCAACTCAAGTCTGTCATCAGCCCGAGAGCTGTGTAGCATTCACATCACTGAAGGGTGCCTGGACCAAACTTTCAGGCTTTTTGGCTTTGAAAGAGAAGAAAAACATGATTTTGTGAAACATTCAAAGAAACTCATGATTATTAAACCTACTTGAATGAGCGTCAAAGGTTGCGATATAACCTTTATTTTCAATGATATTTGCTATTTTATTGATAAAAACTATTAGTCATGGGAACCACTTTGTATTTCCCAGCCCACCTAAGAGTAAGAACTAAAACTCAGCAATCGGCCAGAAATCCTTTGTTCTCCGCGTCCACCCCGCCCACCGCGGGCCCTGGTGCATTTGCTGGTTTCCCAGCAGGTGGCACTGTTGTTTCAAAGGAGTGGTTTCAGTGGGGCCCAGTAATAGAACTTCGAAAAACGGATAATGAATGACAGGCAGTGGTTAACAGGGAAGCAGTGAGTCAAGTCCTGTTTAATAAACCTTGGGTATAAAAGCAAAATAAGTTTAAATAACTGGTTTCCTCCATCTCCCTTCCTAGGGGCGAACGTGAACATGAAGACCAATAACCAGGATGAGGAGACACCCTTGCACACAGCTGCGCACTTCGGCCTCTCGGAGCTGGTGGCCTTCTATGTGGAACACGGGGCTGTCGTGGACAGTGTGAACGCCCACATGGAGACCCCCCTGGCTATCGCAACCTATTGGGCCCTCCGCTTTAAAGAGCAGGAGTACAGCAGGGAGCACCACCTCATCTGCCGCATGCTGCTCGACTACCACGCCGAGGTCAACGCCAGGGACGATGACTTCAAATCTCCGCTCCACAAGGCAGCCTGGAATTGTGACCACGTGCTCATGCACATGATGCTGGAGGCTGGTGCCGAAGCCAATCTCATGGATATCAACGGCTGTGCTGCCATCCAGTACGTGCTGAAGGTCACCTCCGTGCGCCCTGCCGCGCAGCCTGAGATCTGCTACCAGCTGCTGCTGAATCACGGGGCTGCTCGAATATACCCTCCACAGTTCCATAAGGTGAGGCCTGTCCCTCCAAGCTCCTCACGCTCGTCTGAGGCTTGATCCTCTACCTGACTTTCCACTTACATGTATAATGCTAGCTATCTTGTCCTACTCCAAGTTTGTTTGAAATCTGGGGCGGAGAGCAGGGAATGAGAACAAGCGTGGCAGATAGTCTTCCACGTCTCGCGTGAACACCAATGAGCCGTCAGTGGCTTCCAGAGGGACTGAGTTGAGAAAGAGCAGAAGGCCACTCTAAGTCGGCAGGACAGGTGGATGGTGTCAGGTAGGCGTACGCTTGCTGTCTCTTGAGCAGAATGCCTGATCTAAAGAAGACTTTTGGAATTAGTTGACATGAAAGGGCCATTCGATTTTCCGGTTAAGTGAAAGCGAATATTTATTGAATACTAATAATTTTACTTTCAATTTTCCAGTTTAGTAAAAGCTAATGTTTATTGAGTACTAATAATTGTACTTATTATAAACAATGAATTCTACTTACTAAGCACACTGTTATAAGCATTTTACATTTTTATTTATTTTTGAGTTTCTCATCTTGAAATTTAATTCTTATAGCAACACTATGAGATGAACAATATTATTATTGTATTCTATAAAGGAAGGCTTTAGGACACAGAACAGTTAAGGAACTTGCCTGACCTCACACAGGATTTGATCTTACATCATTTGGTGCTAGTATCTATTCTTGTAATATCACACTGCATAGCCTTTTTTTTTATATTTATTAATAATCTCTAGTGGGCAGCAGGGACCAGATGCTAACAAGGCTGATCTGACTAAGACATGGTACCTACTTTCAGGTAGCTTAGAATCTAGTGAGAAAGACAAACACATAAAGAGATAATTTTAATATGCCATGGTAAATGACAGGTAGAGGAATTAGGTTGATGGTGGTAATTAACTTGGACACCAAAATGCACTTCACCTTAAAATAAATCAAATGACACCACACCTAGGCTCTCATTCATTCTAAAAAATGAATTAACAAAAAACCGAGGAGTTTCAGGCATAAACCAGCTGAGTATTGTAGGGCCACAGAAAGTAGTTGACAGAGTTTTACTAAATTCACAGCTAAGTTCTACCTCATCCCTTGGCAAAATATCAGAACAGGTCTGACATTCTGTGCTGTGAGGCTTAGTTGGAAGAAAAGTTCCCATTAAGAATTTAAGAGGAGTGCACTCAGTCAGGGCCAATTCCCTATGAACAACCCCAGGAATGTTCAGAGGTAGATATGACATCATTGAATTTTGTGATATCATAAGGGATTTTTTTTTTCTTCATTGTCAGTATTGCAATGGATGATTAAGTCATTTCCCCCTTAGAATTATGTGTAATAATAAAAATGTTCTGGAACTTTATACATTTTTAAATAGAGATTTCCAAGTGATTATGATGAAGAGGAATACAAAAATAAATGATAATATTGCAACGATGTCCTTTGTTGAATTTTAAATAGGCTTTATACAGATTTCATTTTATTTTTATAATAACTTCTGCAATAGACACTGGCATTATCATCATTTAAAAGGTAATAACACTGAGATATTTTCCTAAAGTCACAGAGAGTAAGTGGTCAAGGTCATTCACTTATTTGACAAATATTTACTGAATGCTACTACGTGCCAGGTGCTGTTCTAGAAGCTGGAGATAGAGCAATGAACAACAACAATAACAACAACAACAACAACAACAAAAAGGCCTTCATGGAATATACTGTCTAGTGGGAGACAGGAAAAAAGCAAAATAACAGACAAATAAATATACTCTGATTTGTTTGGTGTTATGGAGAGAAGTAAAAAAGGTAAGAAAATAAGAGAATGCCTTTTTTGGGGTGTTCGTGTATGTGCTGTTTTACAAAGGTGAGTAGAGAAAATAAGGACATGGAGGAGCAAGTCATGTGGATGTCTGAATGGAGGGGAGAGCATTCAGGTGTAAGAAAAAGCAGGTGCAAGGAGCCTGAGGTCGGAGAGGGCTGAGCCTGTCTGTGGAAGGGCAGGAAGCCAGAGTGACTGGAGGGGAGTGAGTGAGGCGGGAGAGAAGTCAGAGAGGTGCATATGAGGGAGGGTTACAGACCATATACGTGGCCCTGCAGGCCGCGGTTATGTCCTTGGTTTTTCACACTGAATGAGAGAGGAAGTCACTGAAGGATTTTTCAGTTGGGAAGTGTAGCCTGATTTACCATACATTCCACAAGGATCTTTTGGACAACCTTTTGGAGAATAACTCTAGCAGGGGCAAAGGCATTGCAAATATTTAGGTACGGGATGAGGGTGTCTTACCCCGACAGTGGAAATGGTGAATGTGGTCAGATCTGTGGCATGTTTTAAAGAGGGAGTCAATGAGTTTTGCTGAGTGATTATTTGTGGGCGGTAAGAAAAAGAGAAGGGTTGATGATACCTTCAAGGATTTTTGCCCAAGGAATGTAAAGAAGCAAGGGGACATTTCTTGAGAGAGAAACAAGGCAAGTTGGAGCTGATTTTGAAAAGAAGACCGGGGGTTCTGCTGTGAATGAGATGCCTATCCATTTACCTATACCCAGGTGAATATCAAGTAGGCAGTTTGATGTATGAATCTGGTGTTTAGGGAAAGGTCCTGGCCAGAGGTACAAATCAGGAAGTCTTCATCATGAATATGGTATGGAAAGCCAGATGCATTAAACAAATGATGGCTATACCTACTGTTATTACGACATGCCTGCCAAGTAGAGGGATCGGTGCTTCTCGGTTTGGTTTACCCACGGGGGCCTTTCCAACCAGAGAGACAGTGTCTGAGACTGTCTAGAGACTAAATGTAGAGCTTTAGTCCGAAACTCCCTGCCAGTTGCCTGTGGATGAAACAGGTCTCTGCGAAAGAAACTAAAAGACTCTTTCTCCTCATTCCCCTTGAAGAGCCAGATAAAGGAGAATGAGCCTTTTAAGAGAGTTTCTGTTCTCCAGTAAAAAGTCTTGCCAACGTGAGGAAGGCCCCCAGGTCCTTTTCACAAAAGCAGTTCTCTGAGAGGGAACAACGAGGAGGCTTGGGAGCAGCAGCTTAGTAGGCAGGTGCATGCGCTCTGGCTTGGCCACTCCCTAGTTGTATGGTTTTAGAACAAGTTCCTCGATCTCTTGGATCCCAACTTTCTCCTCTGAAAAATGAAGGTAAAAATATCAACTTTTCAGGATTGTCTAACTAACTAGGAAAGGGGGAGTAAGGCATGGAAATCATTGAGCCCGGTAATGCTGCTCAACAAGATCATTTCCTTTCCTCCTCTGCCCAGAAAGAACACTTAACCCACTGCAAGACTCTCCTGTAGTCTTGGGAGGATCCCCTAGCTTGGAAAGTAGGCCTGCAATTAAGTGTTCCAAGGAACACTCTGTTCACCTGTAGTGTGTTCTTATCAGTTCTGTTTTATTCCTCTGAGTTCCTCTAGTCGTCCATATGCTAAAGAGAGTTAGAATAGAGTTAGTTGTCACTGATGGATGGCTGGAATCATAAACATTTTGTTGTTACCAACAGTGTAAGAGAACTGGCCCCCTTCCAAAAGAAAATGGAAGAAAACCTATTCAATTTACTATGCAGATGCTTCACAGTGATTTAGAACAACTACTCCATAGCCCAACTTCCCAAAGACAAACTCATTTTTACAACAAGTAAATGACTGACTCATTTATCCAGAAGATAAAGTGATTTGTTCTCTTGTGGACTGGGAATTTGTTTTCCTTATTCACAAGGAATAAGGTCAGAGCTGAAGATTCTGTCTGCCAAATACAAAACACATTCGCAGAGGGTGTATTTCACCAAAAGCCAATGTATAAATTACATAAGGGGGAAAAATTATAGAGTCCGCAATTGCTTTCCAGGGTACAAAAGGACATTTAATTTTTTTTTTTCAGCAGAAAGAAGTGACACCCCAGGGAGTCAAGATTGGGTTTTCAGGTAGGAAAAGAAAGACATTTGTCTAGTGGAGGGAAAAGTATGTGGAGATTTAGGGAAGGTGAGAAAAGTTTGTCCTATTGAACAATGCTGTACAGGAAGCCCAGGGTACAAGAAGTCTCTCTGATTATTAAGTACCTTTCTGCACACAAATATATTAATATAAAAGGGCAGAAGTAGCTTTAGAATTTTTCTGCTGAAGTGGTTTAGAGTTGTTACTTGTACTGGAAGGGTGGCAAGGAGATGTGTCTTGAATCTACTTTGCAATTTATGCTTTTAGGTGTCAGATGAGGGAACATATCTAAAAATCTCTACAGTTGCCACCACTGTAGAAAGAGCTTCTTTCAACCAGTTGTTCTTAGAGACACCAGAGACACACAGAAGGTGAAGTTCATTGGGCATCTTCTCTTTCTCTGACTGGAAAATGGAAGAAGTTTGTCCCTTCTGGGTCCATACCAGTCCTTCCTCAAGGTTCCCGGTAGTCACCATCTAGTGATGATTTGGAGTTTGCTCTCTCTTAAGGGTCTTTTTTGCTGTTGTTATTGTTTTGTGAAATAATTATGGCAGCCTAAAGAAGGTTCTGGAAGAAGACTGACATGCCAGTGAAGATAACTGGAAGGTTGTCAGACTGAAAGAGCATTTTGTGCTGTGAGACCAGTCTTATGTCAGCAGAAAATTTAGTAATCAATGTCAGCAAAACCTAATGACAGCAGTAGAAGCTTTGGACTTGGTGCATCTAAAGACTGCAGGTTAAGAACTACTTGATTTGATTTTTTTTTTACCTTAATGAAAAGTGAGATGTTATCTACATATTATATATGGGACTAGGCCAGGTATGAGTTAAAGCACCAAATATGTGAAGTTAGGCTCCTAATCTGTGAATGAAATATATTCCTGTATCTGTAACTTACTCGAACACTTTCTAAATACAGACTGGGCATAGGATTGCCTGATAAAATATAGGATGCTCAGTTACATCTGAATTTCAGATAAATTATAAGTAACTTTCAGTATAAATATGAACCATGCAATATTTGGGACATACTTATACTAAAAAATTACTGTTGTCTATCTGAAATTCAAATTTAATTGGACAACATTTACTATTATTATTTGCTAAATCTGGAAACTTTATTTGGGAAGTAGATAATATGTAGTAAGAGGAGAGTAACTTTTATTCACATCTCTTCTGTGTCCTCAATGTTGGCAAGAAATTAGAGGTAAGGAACACCTAGGGACAAAGTCCCTGTGTTGGGTGTGTGGGCGCTGCATCTTTAAATATGTTCACTGTAGCTTCCATGAAGTATGAATGGGGCTTGGGAATTTATGCAGAGCACAGAAATCAGTTTTCTGAGGGGACAACTAAACCATGTACAGAGCCTCATTACAAACTTTCTGACTTCTTCATGCTTTTCATTTTTATAATTCTAGTATAAGTATATTCTTGATTCAATCCTTGGATTCATTTCAGCTATCATCCCTGTACTGGTAACTCTTAAATTTAAATCTTTATTTTTGGGTTGCTCACGGGATAACCAACGTACTCCTCATCATGGCTCATCCTCCTGGAAAGGATGCATCTGGAGGCCTTTAGAAAAGAATGTGTATGGAGGTCTGGATGGCCGTTATTTTCATATGATTAGCAACATCTTTGCATTCACAAGGGAATTCTTTTGAAATTTCAACAAGATGCACCCTAAAATAATTACGGAAGAGAATGTTTCTTGTCTTAAAATAGCTATGCAGTAAGATTTGTGTCCTTAAAACATTTCACCAGTCATTACCTAAGGATTAAAATAAGATCATGAGAATATATCTGAAAGAGCACTAAATTCGGATGAAGAAAATCCAAGACCATAGTTCCTCTTGCTGTACCTCTCTGGGTTTCAGTTTCCTTAATTTGAAATTAGGAGGATTGGATAATCTCTAGGGTTTCTTGCAACTCTAACATTCCACAATACTCTGATCATAGTTTATGACTAGTGTTCAAAGCAATAAGTCAGCCTCAAGTTTTCTCCGTGTCTTTTACATAGAGCCACAGATATGCCAACCTCATCTCAGCTACAGAGAAAAGAGCAGTCCCATTTGTCTCAATTTTCCAAAACCAAGGTCCTGGAAAATTACCTGCCAACCCTTACAGCCATGTACTCAGACAGAAATCCCGCGAGTTACACTTCCTGTAGACTCAGCAATGCTGACGCTTCAGAGGTCCCATAGCAATGGATTCTCACTCACTCAGCCTACTTGCTTTCCCTCTATGGACTGATGATGTCAGATTACTCTGTTTCTTTAGACCTGGCTGAAAAAGCCATGGTCAGCAGCTTAGCTTTGTGCATTGTGCCCAGAATGTACATGAATGGATCCTCTCATTAAACAAGTATTTATGTTGTGCTTATTTGGACCCAGCCACTGGATGGGATGATTCTGATGCTTTCACTGGTTTGGAGCTTCAATACATACATTTTGTCTGCAATGGCTGATGACTATGTTTCTTAAAGATGGGATAGCTGGGAACAGCTGTGTGTTGGCATTGGCTCCCAGCTGCTCAAGAGACCTGACTGCTAAATTTTGTGAGTTTATTGTTAAGCACAACCATTGTCAAAATTGTATCATATAAACTACCAAAGTATACTAAAAACAAAGATAATAAATACTCAAAACACAATACCTCCTAATTAGTTTACATATCTATGCTGTTGGCATTATTTGGATCTATTATATCTGTATAGTAGAAACGCTATATAATGTTATTCCACATTTCTTTGCAACCATCCACTCGTGTTGGTAGCTTCAAACTCCTCAGACCATGGTCCTCTGTCTTCGCCATTTATACCCACTTAGAGTGCTTCTGAGCCCCATAGCTTTAGCCCGCACATTCTTTGTTGGTGCACAGATCACTTTCACCTTGGCCCACTGTTGGAGCATCTATCATGCACATTTTTGACTGCCACTAAGACGTTGCATAGGAAATACCCTCCTGCTCATTATCTGCTCATTTCCAAATTAGTTTGCTCTTCCAATTTTGTCATTTCAATCAGTGGCACCCCTATTTGTCCTTGATCTCAAGCTTCAAAGTTGCATTCTTTATTCCCTTTATCTGATTAGTCATTAGGCCCCACTTATTCTTTCTCAGAGCTTCAGTCTCCCTTCACTCTCATGATTAACAGTGACACCAGCTGAGCAGCCATTGGGTGCACCTCCTTCAGCCTCCTCCCTGCTCTCTGCCCTGATACCCTTGTTTACTCCTTTGCGCTTTTGCTCATGGTGCTCAGGGGACACTTGATGATCTTTATGGTAGTTCCTTATTATTTACTGGCTTACATTGCTCTCCAACTTTAAATATTTCTGCCTTTTCAACTAAGTTGTAAATTCCTTGAAGACTAAAAGCAGGTCATAAACTTTTCAGAATTACTATCATAGTTCTAAACACAGTGCTCAAGAAGGCTTCCTAACGGAGTGAATTGAATATAACACTTCTTTTTGTTAAGACTATGTAATAGCCTCCTGTTGCCTGTTAAGTCAATCCCAAGCTCTTCAGACTGGCATTCCAGGTATACTGTCAGCTAGCTGGCTCCATCTCACCTGCTCTTATCTTTAGCTCCCTGACATGACCCCTCCATTCAGGTTGGTGACCCGGACACATACGCACGTGCGCGCACACACACACAAACACACACTTAAATGGATATTAAAATGAAAATCTTTCTGTCTCAGTTTTGCCCAAGGACCCAGGACCTTAGGTACTTACCACCACACTGAAAAGTGCAATATTAGACCACTTATGACAGACCGGTAAGGAAGATCAGGAAAAGCAGTTCTGTGACCTTCTTTCCAATGACAATAGGGTGAGGTTGATAAGGACCGGGAAATTAGGAAGAAATTTCCTTGGAGAAAGTTAAGTGCAGAGGTCCGCCTTCCTGCTAATGGTGGGGTTAGGGGCTTCCTCCTCATCTCACGTCCAGTGAGGGAGGCTTTCAAAGAGGACCACAGAGAGCTTGATATGTTCTCTGAAGTTTCAAGGGAAAAGCGAAATTGATGTGTAACTCATGCTGAGAAAATGTAATGGAGAAAGTCTGTGGCTGAAGCTGCTTGTTTAGTAGCAAAGGAAAAAAAAGGCAATGAGATTAGGAATCAAGGGTGCTTTTGCTGATAACAATGGGACAGAAGTACATGTTCCCTGAGGACCAGCTGTGGTCACATTGAAGAGCCAACTGGGTCACTTTGAAATGAAAATAGGTCACACCCAAAGGACTACTAGAAATAGGACCAACTTGGCAGAAAGAAACTGGAGGTCCTCTAGTGGACACAGATGCTGTTGGGAGGGGCGAGGGCTGTGAGGGCCGGACACGCCCTCCACCGGGCCCCGCCTTCTTTGTGAGAACTTTTTTACTTGCTCCTGGATGGGGAAAGAAATCAGTCTGATTTTATTCTTCCTCCCACCTGCCATGGGGACTGGCACTGTGGGGAGTGCTCGAAGCCATGAGACTTCTCAAAGCATTTCCGGGCTCCAAGGAAACTAAGAGGCCCATACATTCATGATGTCTCTGTAAGTGGAATAAATCAGTCATATATGTGCATTAAAGAAGTGAAACTTTGTGTTTCATCTGCAGGTGATACAGGCTTGCCATTCCTGTCCCAAAGCAATTGAAGTTGTAGTCAATGCCTACGAACACATCAGGTGGAACGTAAAGTGGAAACGGGCTATCCCTGACGATGACTTGGAGGTAAAGAGTCGATTCCCTTCCTCTGGTTTTCAGTGTAAAGTGCTTCCAGACTGCAATGGAAGTGCAGGAAATTCTACTTAAATAATTGGTTTCGAGGACACTCCTAAGACCTCCTCATACAAAGGAGACAAAGTACTATAAAAACAAGGCACTAAAGTGTACAGATGCATCAAGCACATAGTACCTGGCAATGTCTTGAGAGGTTTGTCCATTTAAGGGTAAGCTGAACAATTATATAAAGGTGGCAGCTTTACTTTCTTTCCCATCAATTTAGATTGATTAAACAAAAATAATATTTGAGATTGCTCATATAGTATTTTTTACCAGAAGATTGAATTGTTTCATGCGGATTATTTTATTCACTTTAAAATATCTTGAAGTTGTTAGTAGGCAGGAACTTTCAGCTGACCCTTGAACAACGTGGGTTTGAAGTGCATGGGTACATTTATTTATACAAGGATTATTTTACATCTTGTAAACAGATGATGTAAACTAATAGTATAGGTAAATATGTCCAGTGCTAAATAAGTAAATGTATTTTCCTTATGGTTTTCTTAATAGCAGTGTCTTTTCTCTAGATTAGTTTATTGTAAGAACACAGCATGTAACACATATAACATACCAAATATGTATTAATCGACTATGTTATTGGTCAGACTTCAGGTTAATAGTAAGCTACAAGTAGTTAAATTTGGGGGAGAACAAAAGTTACATGTGGATTTCCAACTGCACAGAGGGTCAGAGCCTCTAACCTCTGCGTTGTTCAGGGATCAACTATATTGAAAACACTGTGAAAGGTCATAAAGAAAGTGATTGACAAGACTGAGTCCTCATTTTACGTCTGGACTTTGCTGCCTTTGTAAGCCAGGTCTTCCCTCGAGCCTCCCGTTCTGGGTTTTAGCAGTGACAGGCTGTCTTCAACACGTGGACAGGTATCAAGTACAGAGTACAAAGCTCATTGGGTTTGGAGGCCAATGACAGGTTCAATCTTATACTGCAACTTATTAACTATCTTACCTTTTAAAGGTTGCTCAACCTGCCTTAGCCTCATTCACTGATAAATTATCTAAATGTACGGGTCACAGCAGGCACATATAGAGTTGACGATAATATTTAGACTAATTTAAAATTGCTATTTTGGTTTACAATGCTCCCGGCAGTTCCCATAAGTATATCCTGTCTCATTCCCTGGGTTCTGAAGTGTAGAGTATTACACCACCCCCTCTCTATTATCTCCTTCCATACAAGTCCCTCGGTCCCTGGGTATCTCAATTCTGAGGCCCTGGAAAGCCGCCCCTGCGAATAAAGTCGGGCCTAAATTCATCATTGTTAATGTCTATGGATGGAAACTGTGGGGCTTTTCTGACGCTGACCTGCCTTCCCTTGTTTTTCAGAGATACTGGGACTTCTATCACTCTCTCTTCGCCGTGTGCAGTAACTCCCCAAGGACTCTCCTGCACTTGTCGAGATGCGCCATTCGAAGAGCGTTACACAGCAGATGTCACCGAGTAATCCCTTTGCTCTCCCTCCCATTGTCATTGAAAAAGTACTTGCTTTTAGAGCCAGAGGGAATCATTTATTAGGTCTTATGAGACAGAGGTTCCCATTCTCAGACATTTAAGTGGCCTCACCAGGTAGATACCGTTTACATAAACAAAAGGATACTTGGGTTGATTGTAACACTTCAGGGAGTTCAAAACACTTTACAAACACTCTGTCATTAATTGTAGGGTTTTGTGATGAGGGGAAATAAACAAGCAGTAAAGTTGGGGCATTCTCAAAGACGAGCATGTATCCAGAAGGTACAGACATAACAATAATAAGTAGCATGGATAGGTGATCTGTTACTAGGTGCCTGATATATTTTTGTAAAAATTGTCCTATGTTATCTCATTTGAAATGGGACCCAGAGTTCCTTACAACCCACCTCCCTCATCATTGATAAGTTTACATTACCATTCAGTTGGCAAATTAGTAGGCTTTGTGATCGGCCTTTTAATCTTAGTGCCTTCCCTCCATTCCCACTTAGCAAAAACTACTGCTGCTCACTTTGCAAATTCCTGTCCCCACAACAAGCTCCTCAATTTATTCTTAGTGAAGAAAGCAAGTGAGCATAGTCAAACAAGGAGATCGTTGAGTCAACTTAGAAATGAAAAACAAAGTCCAGTCCACTTGATAGTCAGAAATGGACATTTCAACACACTGTCATTGAGCCAGAGACTGGAGATGCAAAGGTGAGCCCGAAGCAAGGACTCCTGCCCTCCAGGATCTTACCATTTAGCAGAGGATCCGACATACAAGCAGGGAACTGCCGCATCAAATGTCAGGGGCGAGAGTACAGGTGCTGACTCATTCATAGTGCTTGCCTTTCAAAGTCATGCTTCTGACATGAAGGGTGGTTTTCTTTTAAGCATGAAGACAAAGAGTGAAGGGATGGTGTGAAGTAAGGGGGTCTCCTGCAGCTGTGAGTGGAAATGTAGACACTTGAAGTTTCTCCGGCCATCTAGATGTTGTTTTATTTTAGTATGTTTTCCTGTTTAGTGTGAAGGGAAAGGCTTATGTTGATTACATTGGTCTTTTTATATAACAGACTGACATTTCAGAGCATTTTAGCTGGAAGGTAAGGAGCACTTTGCTAGCAATGGCTCGTTACAGAAAGCAAATTAAGAAGACCTTTCGGAAAATGGTAAGAGTTTGAAAAAATTGGGAAGATAAGTGTGTTAGGCAGGCTTGTTAGCCGTTTGCAGAAAGAAAAGTACAGATGACGAATGTCTGGACCCCGTGGTTTATGAGGCCAACTTGCTTCCCTTTTTTGCTCTTGCTGATCACTTAGTATTGCTTTTTAAATGTCAGAGAAGATGTAATTCAGCACAAACAAATCAATTTGCCAGTTGTGGGCAGGTTTCTTCTATTTGTGTGGTCCTCCATCTTATTTAACTTTAGATGCTTGAGTTTTGAGTAGAGGTAATGTTAAATACTCAGCTTAGAATGTGCTTCTAAACTGGGATTCTCCTATTCCAGGTGCCATGTAGGAAAAATCATAGGTGGATACAATAACCTTGTCAAAATATCAGTTTTATTCAAATATTTGGGGAGAAATATCTTGTACTAAAACAAGACCTATATTATGGAATAGAATGCTGAATTTGTATGAACTGTTTATATAAAACACAATCATTCAAAAAACAGTTTGCTTGCATCAAGTTGTTAGAACACATCGTAGAATGCTGAGCAGAGGTTCATGCTGCCCTCCACCTTCAGGAATATTCTGGTGGACAAATTTGTGATGCACTGACTTAGGCAATAAAACAGATGCTGCGGACAAAGACAAAGTTCCTTCCATGGGAAATAATGTTTCTCAGTCTGCTTGCTTGTGCTTAAACCTTTTGTGTTAACGTAGGATATAATACATGACTACTTGTTTCAAATCGTTTATTCATGGATTTAAAGTTATCTTTCCTCATCTTTGGACTTTTATTTACAGGACTTAAATAAAGCTCTTCTGTTTCTTTTCATCTTTGTGAGTCATTTATTTACTGAAAAGACCTTTTCCTAACTGAATTTTCAACAATGAGACTGAAGAACTCTGTTTCATGACTTTTTTCAACAGGTAGAGAAAAAAGACAATGAGGAGATGTTCCCAGAAATATATAATATTTTCCAACTGAGATCGGGCGCGTTCATGGTGGTATGGCTTTAGACAGGAAATATGTAATATTTTCAAAAGAAAGGGTAAACACAAAACACAGGCTATTGTGATAGGAACAAGAGTGTTTTAATAACAATAAAGAAATTGTGGAGTCAGTCTCTCCTGCCTACCACCATCTGATTCCTCCTGGGTTTTTCATTTCCCTCCATTCTCACCATTCACACAATCCTGGGCAATAGCAACAGAGGAAATTATATCCTCATGATGCTTTTGTTAATTTCTGTAAATAGTCATTTAATGAGAGGGAGGGAGGGAGGGAGGGAACACCTCACTGGGTCCTGATCCTTAAGGGCTTTTAAAGGTGGAGATTTTAGGGGCAGTCCCGGGGAGAATTTCAATAGGATATTCATCATCTTTCCAGGTGTGACCTTTCAGGGTTGTGGTTGCCACTGATTGGCAGGTGCCAGGGCAGGGCAGCTGGTCCTGATGCCAGTGGTGGGGTCCCTTATCTGGCTTTGCTGCTTTTCTGAGCCCGGAGCTGAAACACAGCTGAGGCCTATGTGTTATCTTTAGGGCTTAATGTTTAAGAGTGGCCATTCAAGGGCTTATATGGGTGTCCTATGAGGCTATTCTCCTGCCCCTTGTTCTTCCTCTGTGGGGGTCTAAAACCACATGACTAGCCATATATGGGGGAGGTCCCAACAGCAAGATCAGCAGTATGAAAGGTCAGGGGATTTAAACCACCTGACCAGCGAGGAAAGATTACCCTGGGAGCGAGGTCCTTGTTTTCCCAGTTGCTAGGTACTTGGGGCCTTCCCCCCTGGCGGGGTTCTCTATCTGGCCCATTGTCCTTGCTCTGCTCGTCTGTATAACTGCCTACCACGGTTTCTCTTTGTCTTCAGAGATCAAGATGCCCCTTTTCTCCAGGTATAGAGAGGACACCTTTCACAGGAGGGTTTTATGACCAGTGTCAGGGGAGAAGGGGGCGGTGTCAGATTGACGTCTCTGTTTCTGTGTTTTCAAACTCCTTCAGCTTAAAAGTCAATTTGCCAAGGTGCCCGATGGGGATAGTGTGTCCTGACCCGCAATAGGGGGTTAAACTATTACTGCATTAAATCACATAGAACAGAGCATGACATTCTGTAAGCATTTTATTATTATTATTGTCCTTGTTTTTGTCATAATCATTACTATTTAAGGAGAGACTTCTACTGGTTTGGTAATATAGTTATAATGTGAAGCGATAGCTGAAGGTGATAACATGGTCGATTTTTGTTCACTTTGGGAAGTACTCGTTGAATTCCTACCAAGTGCTGGGTATCTTGCTGGTGGCTGGGAATCGATGGGGGAATAAAACAAACCAGGTCCTGACCTTCTTAGGCTTTTGGGAGGTGGAAATAACATGGATGTAGAGGAAATGGCAAAAGGGCAAATTGATTAATTTTTGCAATTTTGCCCTTTTGTAAGTGTGTTTATCAAGGATGCAATGACTACTTTTACTATTTCTTAATGGCTATGGAGTCACTTGAAACTTTATCATGTGGACAGAGAGGGTTAATTAGCTGTTTCTAACTTCAATGAGGGAAAGAGTAGGAAGAGATTAACTTTGTAGGAGAAGGAGTCTAGATTAGCAATGAGATTCCTAGCAGTGAGGTTATTGCACTTTAGAAGGAATGAACAGGAAGGGTTGGAGAATTTCATTCAATTATTTTTTCACTTTCAAGAATTTATTCAATACTAATACACTAATAGTTCTGTGCAAGATGCGGAAAGAAGGCAGGAAGGTTAATACGAAATCATTGGAAGAGTCACTTTCAGAAGCTGTAAGGTTTTTTTACTTGGTTTTACTAAGAAGAGAGGAAGCATACAGTGTTTTTTGGTTTTTGTTTTTTTTATTTAAACACTATCTAACTGAGCTATTTTTCAGTCAGCTACTATAAAATGGTCAATTAGAAATGACTTTCAAGACCTATATTTCAGAGATAAATTGCCATCTTCATATTATTGGTCACACCTGTCACCACTGAGAAGCAATGCATGAAATAAGCAAAAACATCCTCCAAGAAGCAGTTGATTCCTTCCTTCCTTCCTTCCTTCCTTCCTTACTTCCTTCCTTCCTTTCTTCCTTCCTTCCTTCCTTCCTTCCCTCCTTCCTTCCTTCTTTCCCTTCTTCCTTCCCTCCTTTCTTCCCTGGCAACACTAAGTAGATTGGGTGGGCTTAAATTTCCTCTGAGTAATTGGTTTTCTTAGATACAGGTACGCCTCAGTGATAATGACTAACAACTATACCACTAAATGCTCATCCAGCCAAGGAAATAAAATAACGATGCTACCAGGTACTTCCTAAATTATAGACACCAGTGAATTAACTTTAAGTGCTTGTGAAACACAGAAGGATGGACAAAACAGAATTGCCATCATGGGGGTTTTCAGAAAATCTTAAAAGTAGAAGATAGGTATCAGGGGGCCTCTCAAAGTCCAGGAGTCCAGACGCTGCCCGGAGTCACAAGAGAGGACATTTACTCTCTGCCCCACTCCATGCTGGGGGAAACCTGACAGCTGGCGTTGATCGACAAGAGGTGGGAATCAATGGAGATTACAATCAGGTTGATTCAGGAAGTAAATCATACATACTAAGCTGATCTTTTAAATATAAACTTTTTCCCTCCCTGGGTCCTGGCAGAATGACTTCCATTGGCCTCATCCACTGAACTCCTGCCCCTTGGCTTCCTGGTGGGTCGAGTCCATGCGAAGACCAGCTGACACTGAAGGACAGGAGGAGACAGAGATGCGAACACTTCCTGGCTACTTCCCTAGTGGGCTTCCTCTTGAGAGTGGCGGAATTCCTTGCCCAAGATCACGGCTCCTATTAGGGACCTTTCTCCTAAGCTGTTGTTATTCTTCCTGGGTTATAGTAACTGCTTCCTCCACTTGTTCCTCCAGACCTAGGGGTAGTCAAGGCTTCCTCCTGGAGCCTTTGTCCTAGGTGCTTCATCACTCCCTGCTACTTACACTTTTGTAAATACTCCTTGATGAAATGCTCTTCAGTTTCGCCTACTGAGTGTGCAAGTCATTTTCTCTAGGGATCTTCACAGATGCACAAACACACATAAGGCTGTAACAAGTCAGTGAGAGCTTCGGTGTTGGTGCGTGCTGTTGGCTTTGGATGATAGAGGTCACTCTGTGGGCCATTGTCAGGCAGGTGGACTTGAGCTCTGAAGGGTAGGATTTGGATAATAACTTGAGTAAGAGTAGGGCAGTGGATAGGGTGGCATTTAAGGTAAGTGAGTAGCATCGGTGAAGGGTTAGAGCTAGAATGTACAATGAGTATTCATCATCACCAATTGAAGTAGAAGGTAAACATTTGTTTCAGGGTAGAAGGTGAGATTAACAGGGTTGGGTGGGGTTCAAGTGAAATGTCTTGAATCATAGAGAAGCACCATAGGAAACCAATGGAATATTATTATTATTATCATAATTATTCTTTCCCACCCTATAACTTTTATAGTAATTATTATGATAGAACTACATAACACAGTATTTTATCATTTTCAGAGCATCTTCATGACGTTTAATACAGATAGTGGCCTTTATCATTACCCTCCACTCTCTTCCATGCAAAAACAAAATACTATTCTGAACATTTAGATATGAAAAAGATATCTAAGTATGACATTAATTAGCCCTTTTCTTCTAATGTAAAACACTCCAATCGCATGGACTGATTTACTCAAACTACTGGTAGGGGGCTCAGTTGGTTGGAGCATCGTCCTGCACACCAAAAAGTTTTGGGTTCGATCCCTGGTCGGGTGTGTACTGGAGGCAACTGATTGATGTTTCTCTCACACTGATGTTTCTCTCTTTCTCCCTCTCTCTCTAAAATCAATAAAACATATCCTCAGGTGAGGGTTAAAAGAAAAAAAAGGATTAGAATCTTCCATTTTTTAAAATGACAAAAGCTAAGTAATTTTTTTAATTGTATGAAAAAAAGCAAAAGAGCAAATTTCTCTTCCAGCGCACTAGAGCGGTGATTTTCAACCTTTTTCACCTCACGGCACATATAAAATAATTACTAAAATTCTTCAGCACACCAATAAATATATTTTTTTGCCAACCTGACAAAAAAATAGGTAAAATATTGATTCATTCACACCAGACAGCTAGCTATATTTGTGTTGGCTGTTGTCATTTTTTTTTTTATTTGACAATCTAAAGGAAAATAGGTCAATGACCCTGACCAAATGGTCAAGTATTGACTGCTTTAAAAATTCTTGCGGCACACCAGTTGAAAATTGCTGCAGTGGAGAATGAAGTAACAGAGGCAAAAGCTGGAGTTCTACGACCGCGTCTAAGTCTTGCCAGGGCACTGTTCAAGTGATAGATTGCTCACAGAAGCACTGACTAACATAACTAACATAACTAACATCCTGCGGGGGCCGGGGGGCTCCCGGTACTGCTGAGGTCTGAGGGACAAAGGCAGGCCCCTTCTTAGGATGGCCCATTAGGGGAAGCGAAGGCAGAAGCACATTGTTTCTAAGTAACCTTTGGCTAGTTCTCAGATAAAGATACATAGCAGAGAAACTGCAAAGCCACGCCGTGTGGCACAGGGGAGAAATGATGGATTTGGGGATTCGATAGTCTGGATTTTAATCCAGATTGTGCCACTTGATATTGATGTGAATTTAGGCCATTTTCTTAACCCAAGTGTCAGTTTCTTTATTTGACTAGTAATGGTTAACTATGTCGTTTATGGGGTCTTTTGGGAACTAATGAATGATGAATGTAAGGCATCTGAAGCAGTTTCTTGTATGTAGGTGAACCTCAGTAAATGCTCAGATGGTACATGTGTCTGGCACGTGGGGAGATTATATAAACATGTAG